ATTCAGCTTATAATCAAATTAGGAAAAATCGAAATAGGAGGAGAAGAAATATTGAAACACAAACAACAAAAATGATAGAAATGATGTTGTAGCACTGCTCTTGCAGCTACTGCATATGCCACCCCTCTCCATCGTACTTGCAAACTTCTTTAAGGACTCTCCTCTCACTCTAAACCTTTGAAATAATATCAGTTTTGATCTGAATTAATTGATATATCAACGATATGAGGTGTGTGCTTGCCTCTGTATTTATAGATTTGGGTAACTTGGGTCTCAAGTTAGGATACCAATGTTGATTTCCTTCAAAAATTGCATCCAAGTCTGATCTTTTCCTATCTCTAGCTAGAAATTTTGATCTTGATTGCTTTGGATAAGGCTTAAATCCTTAATTTTTGAATATATTTTGATCACTTTATTTATCCTTTTGAATCTTCTTATATTTAATTGTCGATCCTTATCTTTTGTTAGAGCTTATTTAAGTTTGAAAATTTGTTGCTTCTCTCCTTATCCTTTCTATTTCTACTCAGAAAGCAACATTTCATTAATTGCATATTGTTGTAGCATTGCTACGACATTGCCATGCATAACAAAAATTTCACATCTAGTTAGTTATATACTTTAGTATCATAATCAACACAAATTTATACAACTAACACTTTTATCATTCAAAATACTCAAGGATGAGAATCATAAAATAATATCATATTTTAGAGTAATTATATAGTATATTAGGCACCAAATAATTAATTATAAGCTCAAAACTAACCCTCTTTTGCAGAGTTAATAGGCACTCCAGGAATCCAACCTTACAACACATATGAATCTTTGTGAGAGTAGCAAGCTCGTCGAGCTTGTTCTGATCCATGCAATATGCTTTCTTCAATCAATAAACATTATTCTCATGTCCTTTCTTAACATATCCCAGAAGCTGTTCAACTTCTCTTTAGGAATCCATTGAGGAATGCGTATTATGCCTCCATCTAATGTATCTTCCACCTATTTTCATGCTGCAAGTTCTATCATCAAATAAATAGCATCCGTTCTGGCAACTAATGCGAACACCTCAAAATAGTCAATTCCTAGTATGTGCTTGTGATCTTTGACTACTAATTAACATTGCCATAAGTAGGTCCACATGACCGTCATTCTTGTACTTCATCTTGTGCCACCATTTAACACCAATTGGCTTCTTCTTTTTTCAAGGTATTCTCTAGCCGACAGCCGAAAACTAATTCTTTTGAGGGAGGAGATTACATTAAGTAAGTAAATCTCTCCAACAAAGTCTTTTCCATACACACGGCCAAGAATCGAATCCCTGTCAGCATGCTTATGAAACCCAGCTATCTATCAACTATGTTGGTATCAATTGGCTTCTTTTCGACCAGTAAGAAATCAACTTCCAAGTGTTATTCTTCTCAATAGAATTGATTTCCTCATCCATTGTCTGAATCCATCTATCATTCAATCCTGCAATTTCATAGAATATTGGGTCACAATCAGCAAAAAATAAAATAAAAAAATACAGAATTTTACTAGGGTCTCATTAGTGACTTTATGGGTATCATCACTACCATCATCTATTGTGACAACATAGTCCTTTAGGTGTGTTGCCACCTCTTTGTTCTCCTAGGACGTTCTGCTAACTTAATATCCTATTTTGGTCTAGTGGTGAAAGGTTTGTGTAGTTTGTATTAGGTTATATATTCAATTCTCCTTTATATCCAAAAAAGAAAAAAAAATTGCTAACTTATACTAGTTTTCACACTTATCAAAAAATTCCTAACTCATGTTAGCTATGATGCTTATTAGATTTGGTGAATTGCGCTAACTGTAATTTGAACAACATACGAATAGTTCCATAATTTTGGCTAAGTGATTGCTGAATTTTTGCCTTAAAATATGTAGAAAAAATTGGATTGATATTATTGATTCGATCTGACTCATTATCCGATATCAATCCTGAACTAAACAGATCATTTATTTTTCTGATATATGAAGTATGGGATTTCACTAAGTTAATTTTTAGAAAATCTCCAATCAAACCATTAGTATTTACCGCAACAAAAGAAGCGGTGCGAGATAACTCTCTCTAAGGAACTCGGCAAGATAGCCCTGTAACTTTGGGAGAAGGGGTGCCTCCTCACAAAGGGAGTCGCAGTGACAGGCCTCCGGTCCTCTCGTATTAGGGAAAGGTCCTCTCAAAGCTCTAACGCCCACACTGGATATGGATTGAACTGTTTTATATATCCAATTGAAAATCTCCTTCACCATTAAAATTTCATAAAAATTAAAGCTAATAAAAATCTTCAAAATTCTAGATTATACTTTCAACATAAAAGATGTGTAAGTGTGAGGTTATAAAATTAAAATATTAATATGCAGGAAATAAAATAAAATTTATTATAATCATAAAGGATGTATAAATATAAAATAATTAATGAGTGTGCATATATGTGTGTTTAGCATTCATCTTGCATAAGTTGTTTGGGTGGACTGCTTCACTTTAGGGGGCGTTTGGTAGAGGATAATTTTTTTTTTTACCAGGAAAATATAATTACTAGAAATTTGATGGGAAAATAAGTTTGATAAAAAAGTTAAAAAAAAGTTGTTTGGTTGGCCGAAATTTTACCAGAAAAATTGGGTTAAATCTACTGAGTCTATGTTTGGTTGGAAGTAAAAAATTGATGGAAAAATAACTTTAAATTACGAAATAACCCTTATATTTGAATCACAAACACGGTTGCCTAATAAAGTAGAGAGTGTTTTTGGCAGCTTTATGATTCTCTTTCTGCCATTAGCCTAGACAACTTCAAATACTACCTTGCAAGAGGTATTATGGAACAGTGTTATTGGACCAATTTTCCACATAAATGTAAACGTGCTGGCCGAAAATGTTCCCTAGCAAAAAATTTCAAATACTTCTATCAAACAAGGACGTCCAAAAAGTCCAATTTGAGATGCATGGATAACTTCAAATAAAACCGGAACCAAACGCCAAAGGCTTTTTTGTCCTATTTCGTCAGGATCAAATATTTCTTGTATGCTCAATCTATTTTAACTAGCCTTTTCAAGGAACACAACATTCAAACAATGCTTATTCAATTCATATTTCACGAATCATATTTATCACCAGATAAGTTAGGCCAATAGACTCCAACTTCTGATACCACGTGAATTCTGATACCAGACTAGTAAACATGGTTGTGGATTGACACTCCGACCACCATTCAGGTTACGATCCATCACCAACGCCCCATCATCATAGTAAAGCTTCTATGGTGAGTTTCTGTTGATTGCCAAGATCCTATCTCTCCTCGGGATGCACTAATAAATATAAAAGCCAAGCCCTTGTGCAGGTATCCTACTATTTACACTAAAATAATAACTTATTGACTAGTTACATTTATACCATTTTATTTTTTCATTAGTAACTATTAACTATGCTGTATTTTAACAGATCCCCCGCACTTCCAAAGATTCACATCCATGGTTCGAGTACTCCATTTCAATGATTCCATGTTTTCCCGCCAGATAAAATGTGCACTTCCTTGTGCAGGCGGGCATCCTACTATTTACACTAATAAATAATGGGGGAAATAATTTCTGCAGTTGTGACAAAAATCATCCCTTCTGCTACTGATACAAAAACAAAAGAGAGAAGAGAAAAGAACGAGTCAGTGGGAGAAAGAATTTTTCTACTTTTGAAACAGAAATGATTTTCTCACAAATAATGACTTATTGACTAGTTACGATTTATACCATTTTATTTTTTTATTAGTAATTATTAACTATACTATATTTTAAAATGTACACAGTTGGAGAATGGATTTGGATTCTCTTATGTGAAAAAGTAATCATGTTATTTGATCATAACCACTCATTGATGACATGAGATTGAGAAAAACGTATGATTTTTAAATGAGTAATTGTAATCAAATATCATGACCACGTGACTACTTTTTCACATGAGAGAATCCAAATCCGTTAAAGAATAGTATAAACCATTAAATGCCTGATTGGATTGTTTTTTTTTTAACCAAAAGTTACTTTTTTCATAAAAAAAGCAATTTCACTAAAAATTATATTTGGATGTCTGCTTTAAAAAAAAATTAAAAACCTACTTTTTTTTAAAGCAAAAAAAGTTAACTTAAAAAACAAAAAGAAAAAGTTAGAAGCTAATTTATTTATTTTTTTGAAAATATTCCAATCGATTCATTGCTTCGCAACTAATCCGATTCGGGACGGGTCCAGAATTAAGGCTGAAGCTAAATATTTTAAAAAAAATCTAAATAGCTTTGACTTTTATAAAAAATACTCCTAAAATGAACAAGGCATAAAAATAACTTTTTTTTTTGTAAATAAAAGTTTAAGTGGGGTTAGACACCGGTATCCCACTAGGGTCAGGGAAGACCCCTCAACCTCTTTGAGGATTTCTGGGAAGGATTATATATCACCCACCAACAAAGTCCTCACATCGGCCAGCAGAGTTTGAACTCACGCCCTTGAGAGGTATGGACCAAACCCTTAGCCAACTGTGCCCACCTTTGTTGGCAAAAAAATACCTTCACTTAAAGCTTAAATTTTTGAATTAAAATAAATCTTCACATAATATCAAAACCTCGATATCACAAAAGTTCAACCTTCACCGCCTCCAATTTAATTAATAAATAATTTTTTTTTAATAGTAAATAATATGCATTATTCACACTTCAAATCCAGTGGTCTCTCTTATATGAAAGAACATGTTAAAAAATAATATAAACCATTAAAAAAAACCTTATTCAACGGCTTTAGCTTTTAAATTAAAATGATTCTTTGACATGCACAATTTTACAAAGTTGAGAAGACCAGACAACTAAGAGGCCAAGTCATTCATCTTTATACAATAGCCGTCTTAAGCATGTGACACCGACCACAAACATCCAAATGTAACATTCATAAAAGAATGCAGTGTTTATGTGTAAATCACTAAGCTTGCTCTGAGCAGCATAACATTATAAATATAACAAACAATGGGCATAAAGTATAATAAGCATGAACGTTCCTACAATTACGAATTAAAATAATCTTTAGTTACTACATGAAATGATGACCTGTCACACTGAAACATATGTACAGATGCAACACATGGAAAACAAACAAAACCCATAACAAACATGGTCAAACACTATGATCTCCACTGTTTACCCTTCTCTACAAAGGATTCCTGAACTGTCCCTCTATCAGTATCAACACTCTTCCCACAAAGCTGATGCTGTTCAAAGCATAAACACCCTAACTCTTGTCTTCAAACGTCAGTTATCACTGTCCAGGTATATCTCAGCTTATTACAAGCAAATACTAGTGTACAATGGACCTCATATTCACAAGGTTTGCGCTAACTGCCCAAGAAAATCTTAGCCTATTCCTGCACAAGTAAAAATATTATTAAATGATCCATATCAGTAAAAAACATGGCCATTTAGCCAAAAACCTAATAAAGCACAGCCTAATTTTTTTTTCCCGATTTCTCCACCGGTTCATCGATTATTCAACTAATCATGTTCAAGCCGGATAGGATCACAAGGGCATCAAAGTTTTCTCCCTAACCAGGACTCGAAATCGAGACCAGTGATTAAGCTAGAACAATCCTCTATTAGTTGATCCACGTGCTTGATGGTTAAAGCATGACGAAACTTAACAATTGCAAAATGAAACCACAACCTACCATTTCTAGTTTTTATAGTTTAACCCTGGGGAGGGGATTCAGGCTCTGAAGAACCACCAAGAGAAGCATATGACATTGTATCTTCCTTAGGTATAGCCACAAAGTTGAGGGGTGCAGTAGACAATCTCCTCATTTCCTTAAAATATCCATTGTGACGCCCAGAGTAGGAACGTGGTGTGAGTAGTTCAGATGTTGTTCCACCACTTAAAGAGTTACGACGAGGTGTAGGAGGCATGGATGCATTGCCATTTGTACCATACCCATTTGTCTTTCTAAAGCTGTTACTTTTTTTTGGACTAGGTTTAGACCCATACATGGCTTCCTTTTGATTTAGGAGTAGATCTTGCAGCTTCTTTTGGTCCTATGAGATTCAAGAAAAAATACAAGCCAATTAGCTATAAATACTGGAAACATATAACAAAATTTATCAAAGCATTAAAAATATCCTCCTTATTTTCATAATGGTATCTTTGTAAAATACATAAGCAGGTTAATCAATTTAAACTTAACTTGATCATCATTATATTCAAAGATCAATTTATGGATTATGAAAAATGTAGATAATCAAGTAAATTTACCCTGAATCGTCTCTTTTCTTCTTCTTTCTGTTGTCTGGTCAGTTTGTAATCCTCCAATATTGACACCAAACGTACCTACAGATAATATAGACAATCAAATTTACCTGCTTTAAAAAACCGAGGGAGAACACAACCAGAAATATATACACCACTTCAAAGCTCACCCCATCATATAGAAAATAAGTCTTCTTTTCATCTTCCCAGGCTAGCGTTTTGTTTATAAGATTGTCAACCATAGCTGGAAAGAGAACACCGTTAACACAAGTTCAAATGGCACTGTCAAAAGCAAATAGGCACTCATGAAAGCAATACCTGGAATTTTGCTTACAGTTACTCTAGCTCGTTCTGCACGTTTAAGATTAATGTGAGCGCCTCGTCCGGCACTGTACCGATTGTGATCCTGAAATTCCTTGATATTACTTTGGAGAACAACATAAATGATCTACCAGTAACACAGGTTCGTAAATTGAATAAATGCCATAACATTCAATTGAACTGCAAGACTTGAACTGTATAATGAAAACGGAGAACTTTATCCTGTCTCTAATTAGTTGGCCGTACTATTTTTGAATAAAAAACTTACATCATAAATTATCACATCAGATTAATTGAGTTTGAACAAGATACGAAACAAAAACGAGACCTTATTATATCTAGATACAAACGGAGAACTCAAGATTAAGATAGAATTATAAGTATCTTGTTATATTTGGTCTCACTTAAACTTTTGTTTTGTCAGCTTTCGCTTCAGTTCACCTAACATGGTAATTTTTTATGGTGTATGTAGTCTACACAAGTTGTCTTGACCAGTCCATGCAAGAATCTCTCTTAATTTTGAATGAAAAATACAAGACTAAGACTTAACAATCCTTCAATATAAAAAAAGGGTAGCATCTAGAAACCTCCAATGAAAATAGAAGAGTTTAGCCAGACACAAAATACAAAGAGAAGTAAAATCAAAGAAAGAAGGCAAAACCCTAGCCAGTCTGCATCCTACTAGTGTGCTTATGAGAACAGAATTTCTGGCTTACTTGATTGTATTCATCAAGCCAATTCTCCTCTTCGCAGGCAGAAAGCCACTTATCGATCCTATCTGTTACTTCTTTTCTGCTGAAAGCTTCATCTTTTGCCTTCAATATTTGTGCTTCAATGTTAGCTAATAGTTCAGAAGGATCAACCAGGCCTGTACAAAAATACAGCAACGTTCAATAATGTCAGCTCTTTTGTAGATAAATCTGAAAAGAAACCAGATTTACATAAGTGACTAAGAGGTGATAGTTTATAGGAAAATAATCTATTAATGCAACAGGGAACAGACCAGAATCTATTAATGCACTAGCTTTCTCAGCAGCAGTACTTGTATCAGGTTCAATATGAGTCAGTCTACATATTTCCTCTAACTCTGACCTCTTCTTAAAAACAAGTTCCTTCATTCTGCTTGCTTTTAGTTTGGAAAGCCTTTCCACTTCCGCTGAAGCCTGAAAAAGGACTTTTCAGTTTAGTTCCTCCACATCTAAAGAATATATACATGGCAAAGAGTGAGAGAAAAATAAAGGGGGAGAAAACAGAGAGAAGCTTCCAGACCTTCTCTATAATCTCTGTTGAAAGAACACCTCGTTCAGTAATTTCTGATTCTGAAGATCCAAGAATAGAAGTAATCCTCAGAAAACTGTTTCTCTCTTTATTTGATGAGTCCATCAAATTCCAAAGTTCAAATAGTTTAGCAACAACACCCTTTAGCTGCATTTTCAAAAAGATAATGCTTTACATCAGGCCAGATCGGGGAGCGTTGTGCAACAGGGTTTGCCCTTTTTATTACTACCAGGCCAGAGAAAAGGAGGGGGAGAAAACAGATAAATGAGAAGCAATTAGGGATGGTGCATATAAATCACCTTCTGGATTCTAGCTTTCCTTTCTGTTTTTAACTTGAGAATGGTCTTCTCTAGACCTTCCAATGTGCTATTGCTAATATTGGTCGATTGTTCCACCTCAGTCCCATGCAAGCTTGGATGCACATCATCCACAGTCTGGCCAAAATCCAATCCAAGCACACCACAGAGAGAATGCACCTCATTCACACATTGCAAGACCTTTTGAAGGCGGTCGGACTGAAGAGAACAAGAATAGAAAATCCACAAATGAGTTATAAAAGGAGAATCAATATACTAATTGATACGAGGCCACATCTTTAATATCTTGTACCCACTTATACGTAGACTTTTCTAGCACCCATAAATTCTTTCATGTATAAAATAAAAGAGGAATTACAAACAAGACAAAAAGGGTAAAGAAACACATTTTAATTAGCTGCATGTACTATGGTTTCTTATAAAATATAAACAACATTAAGCCATCTTAAACACCCCATATATAAGAAAAGAATATTTATATAAATTGATCATTCACACCATCAGAGAACATTTATTTACTCGTAATACAAACCTTTTCCTTTTGAAGAGTACGAAGATGTGTTTGATATTCATTAAGCCTTCTAAGTGACAAGTCTTGCTCCTCCACAACTGTTGTGCTGCTCACGGCATCATTGACAGGATGGATTCCAGAAATCTCTCCACTTATCTTTTCTATTTGAGCCTTTACATCGGCAAATTGCTTCAACCTTTCATCTTCTTTCTTCTTCATTTCTTCAATCAAGGGTGTGACAGATGCAAGTTTCTCCTTTAGGGATGCAGATCTCTTTTCAGTCTTGATCTATAAATTTCACAGACAAATAGATCAGAAAGTCATATCATACAAGTAAGTCTTTTATTCTCTCAAGTAATTCTAAGATCCTAAAGTTAATTCCTAGTTATATCTTCTTAGCCTGCTAATGTGGTGTCCTGTCCCCTTTTTCTTCAACTAAGCACATTAGAGAAACAATAACCATGTAAATAAAACAGACACCTAACTGATCAATACATACAAAGTAAGAAAACAATTCCAACAATTCCATATACGTACTCAATATAAGAATATACTTGATACATATTTCATGAAAGCAGTAAACTTGCTACTCCCTTCTCCTTTTACATTTTTCTTCTCACAATTTCACATAGTCCTTCAGAACCCATAAATCTGAAAGATTTACACTTTGCAGCAACATCTATCTCATATCTTTTTCTTTTGATCATTGGATTGCAGGTGCAGGCACCTGGGAAGGAGCACAGGTGACAAAGTGGAGGATTGAGTCTCTAATAACACCATCATCACACTCTAATTGGTGCAAGTTGAGCTATAAAGCGCCCTGTCTATCTTAAATCCTTCAATAATTTTACTTTTTGACATCCAGCAACCAATTACTGAGATGCAAGGCATAAAATTGATTTCTGAATTTTGGGTACAACTATACAAGTAAGTCATTTATTTTTACCGGAGAATGAATATCATGTTCGCCAAGCAAAGCCATTAGTGTTGCAAGTTCCGCTTCCTTGGCTGCAACCGTATGATGAAAGCGTGCTTTGGTATTGGCAGCCTCATCAACCTTTCTCCTGTAAACTTCTAAGCATTCCCTCTCCAGTTCAAACAACATACGATCTTTGTCCACATCACTCTCCCCAATATCGTTCCATATTTGCTGCACACAAAATGGGGTCTGTCAACCCAAGAAAAAAAAGGAAACAATAGAGGAAGAAAGTAAAAAAGAAAACAACAAAGAATTCGGTATGAAAACATTTTAATTTTCAACCTTCATTTGTTATTTGTATTGTTTCCTTCTCCTCTATACACAAAAGACAAATCAACAAAATTACAAAGAACTTTACCAAGGCTTAACCTACTTGCAACCAAACTAGAGACTCATTCTATGAGCATCTCATCATACCTCGCAAAAACAATAAGAAAAAAGAAACAGAGCACTGCAATTTCCAAACAACAAGTCAACTGGAAAACCTATACCAACTACTGAACTGGTAACTTTTAACCCATTTGCAGTAAGAATCTCAATCTACTGAAATATTAAAATTTGCAGTAACCCATTTGCCGAAAATTAACCACTTCAAAATTTAGACCAAAAACAAAGAAAATTTAGAGAAAAAAGAACTTTTTCAACTCAGGTTATTTCATGACCTAAGACAAAGCCGCTTCTCCTAATAAAAAAATAACCTACAGAGACCCTATCAATGCTTTTCCTTTTTGACACAGTAAAACAGACAAAAAGTTGACCTTAGGAGAAACAAAACATCATTGGGTAGAGAAAGCCAAGAAGAAGAAAAAGAATTAGTATCATAAACAAATAATTGTAAGCAAACTCTCCATTAAGAAGACCAACAAGAAGAAGAAAACGCCATATCTTCTTGTGAACCCAAATTCCAAAACCCAACTATTTGAAACACCAAGAATTACATGAAACAAAACGAGAAGTCAAAGAAGAAAGAGAAAGACCTCAAGTTCTCTGAGCAAAGCAGTGCAAGTAGTGTTTGTCCTGATACTTGTGGTAGGACTCCCAATGGCCAGCATTATTCACAAAATCTGAGTTACTCTTTCACTCTATTCAACAAGGTAGTGCTAATTTGAAGGGTTACTAGAAGTGCTACTTCTACACCCTCATAAACTCAAAACGCAATACAAGAATGACCCAGAATCAGAAACCAAAAAAAAAAGGAGGGATGAAGAAGGGTCAAAGAAGAAAGCAAGAAACTTTCATGTCAAAGACCAAGAAACATGGGGTGTCTCCATTGCCTCTAACAACCTAAGCTCACCCAGATCTAAAGCTGAAACCTTTGGTTGGATGGTCTCTCTCTGTTTCTCTCTCTCCAACAAATTGTTCTGGCAACTTCAAATAAAGGAAAATTCTTGAAACAAAAATTAACAGGATCTGTAAAGAGAGGAAGAGGGGGGTGTTTTGGAGTAAGAAAAACTTTTCAGAGGGAGAAAATGATTGCCATGATTATTATTGTTGAAGCTTGGTCCAGTAAGGAAAAAAAAAAAAAAAAGCTTAAGCAAAAGCAAAGAGGCAAAGAAAGAGGATAACGCTTTTTTTAGGGTTTGGTGGTTAGACGCTAAAATGCGCCAAAATGTACCAGAACAAGAGCAGGTAAGGAGGGAAGTAATGAAAATGGATCTGTATTCTGTAATGTATGTATAGTGTATTATGCACAATTGCCAATGATTTGTGGTGGGTAAACTCAAATATGGCTTATTATTTTATTTTCCTTCACTTTCTCTCTCTTTCTTTCTTCTTGTGTGGAACTGTGAGAGTGAGAAAATTTGCTGACAAGATAGAATCTTGATGTTTGTTTTTTCGTACTCGTGATCTTGAGCGTGATTTTCACTCTCTAATGATACGTGGAAGTTTGTTTTAACTCGGGAGCAGCGCGTGTGGTTTGTTTGGCTTTGATTTTGAAGTGACCCAAGTAGCTGTTTTGATGTTGAAGTGTTTGTACAAAGACAAAGAAAGGAAATAGTAGAAGAAAAAAATTAATTATTGTTCTTTTGTTGTGAAACGTGAATAACTGAAAATGTTAAGATCTGTAACTTTATTATGGTGAACTTTCATTAATTTGTTTTCTAGTAAAATACCTTTGTAACTTTGGCACCATGTGCAAGTAAATGCAACGAGTAAAAACTTTTAATATGTTTGTGGGTTGTAAGTTTGTGAATGGTTTTTTGGGGAAGAAAGGTAGATGATGTTTGCATTTGTCATTTAACATGATATAATAAATTTTCTTACACACACAATATTTTGTGGGGTTTATATTTTTTGAAGAAAAAAAAATTACGACACACAAAACAAATCTCTATAATATTACACAATTACTTTTCCTATAACATAACTCTTATACAAAATATATACTCTTTCCATCTTATATATTTTGCTTTTTGAAAGTGAGTCAACAGTTAAAGTGGAGTGATAAGTAAGATAGGCAATTCATGACAATGTTAGAATTAAATGAGTTTGAATTTTGCACTTACCTTCATATTTATTTATTTTTATAAATCATAAATTATTTTTATGACAGACTTCGAGTCGAAACATCCTATATATGAGACAAAAGAGAAATTTTTGCATTCATAAGTACTAATTAAATATTCATTTACATTGAAAGTGCTTCTTATATGCAAAAGATAAAAACAGAGACAAATTAGATAAACAAAAGGCCATATATGTCACGTAATCTATTTGTTTTACTAAATGATAAAAGCACTTATTGTTTTTGTGTCAAATTTAATGTCGAATGTTTATGATTCATTTTATTAAATCTTTTGATTAAAAACACAAAGTTGTTTCTGAGGCATTAAGTAAAAATAGTAAAATACCGTTGCCATTCATCATTAATCTTTCTGAGGCACTTATTCTTTTTCTTTTCTTTTTTCTCCCTATTTTTTTCGGCTATATATTGTCGTGAAAGTTATGAATTGTCATTAAGTATGGAACTATGCTTATATTTATTTCTGATTAAGGAAAAATATTATAGGTAATGACTGTTATACTATAAGTGTCATTACATTTAACGGATTTTCTTCTGTTTATTAAAGTAAAATCATAAGAGAAACTAAAAATTGATATAAGAAAAAAAAAGTTGAATTTTGTGTATATACATCCACATCCCAGTTTGGTTATTTGTCTATTCTCTTGAATAAAAGTTGCCATTTATATCAGGAAACTGGAGTAGACTAGCGCCAAACAGAAATTCAACCATGATTTTAGCTATTACTAGCATTTTTTGTTTTATTGTACTTAAGGTTGGTCTCTAAAGTAAAAGTATTCCAGGCGTTGACATTGTTCTAGAGATGAATTAATACCAAATTGAAATGTTTCAAATATTTGTATATCATATTAGAAATTATAAGCAAAAGTTGTGAACGATACACTATAAAACAAAATAAGTCGATGTATAAATAGAATAAATTTGAGATGAATAATTACTAAATTTACTCAGAAATAAACTTTCTAGCCTTAAATCTTTATATATCACGGCATCATTTTGCTTTACTGATTTCATTGTCCATTTACCTTTCATCTTTTCTAAACTCTCCAAATTTCATTTTTTTTTCAAATTGTTTCATTGAAATTCAATTGATTCATGGGTTGCAAAACTTTTTTTTTTTTTTTTTTGGGTAACAATAAGCTGCAAAACTTTTAAATAAGTACTTTTGTACGTTTCAATGGCGGACCCATCTTGTTGCAATTGTCTACACTTGCAGACATAAAGTTAGAAAAAAAAATTCAGAGTTTATGATTCAAGTCAAATAAAAAAAAAAGATAAAATAAGTCCAACCCAACCAAACCCTTATATTGAACGTGATATATTTGATCAGATTGATAATGAAGATATAATGCAATATTTTCAAAAAATAAAAAAATGAAGAATATTTTTGTAATCGTTCTATTTAACAGTTTAGTTGACTCTTTATTATTATTTTTTATGTTAATTTAAAGTTTTTTTTTCTTTTCCTGTTTATATTCTTTTGATTTTTAATATATTTTAAAATAATTTAATTTTTTTTAAATAGGGGCTATTCCCGAACCCTCATCCCTAAATATACAGACATAACAAAAAATTGAATCCGCCACTGGTACGTTATATATGTTCTTGTTCTTGACAATTTCTGTTTTAATAAATTTCTTCTTCTTTCATCTTTGTTTTGTTTCTTATAATACTTTCTTTGATATAATTTAATAAGCTTCATTTTTTATTTGTAAAGTAAATAATTTTTATTCTATGCCGGTATGACTAATTCCTCATAAGTTAGAACTAAATTGCAGAGGAATAATTAAAACGCTATTATTCCATACCAAAAAAAAAAATTAAACGCTATTATTGAGTCATAATCATTTTGTATCTTCTTTCCTTGCCATTTTTTTTTTTTTGTAATTGCTTTCCTCGCCTTTTACTTGTATAAGGTATATCATAGCTATACTTCAAAAGTAGTAATATGACATGAAATATGGTTTAAGGTTTTCTACACCCGTGAATAATCACTGTTTTTTTTTTTTTTTAATAAACGATTCACAAATATAATGAATTGATCTTTTGTGAGTTAATGATACTAGCTACCCGATCAATGTCAACGTGGTGTGGCTTCAGTGAAGTTGAGATCCATCATATATGGTAAAAGGTGTTGCTTATGAGTCGATGAAAAGGGTGGTGGAGACATGTCATGGATTAAGATGCATGTGTACTTAATTACGAGTGTATCTAATTAACAAAATTGAAGGAATGGGAACAAATAACAATGTATACAGAAAGCACACAAGTGCAGTACTGTTGGTAGGACTTTAGCGTGCGAAAAAATGAGGCCAACATTTGGGTAACAGTAACTAAAATGTTATGTTTTGTTAATTTTTTTATCCAAATGTCATGCGAATAGTATTTTTTATCAGAATGTCACGTGTCATAGTTTTTACCACTGGTAGCGAATTTTGTGGCTAATAATTTTGTGACACGTGGTCATATTACAGACCAAATTCGCTACCAGTAGTAGCGAATTATGACACATCAGTTTTTTCCTACGAAAGTGTGCCACGTGTCAAAAAATAATTCGCGAACATAATTTGCTACACAGTGTAGCGAATTACGTCATACTTGACACGTGTCTTTCTTGCTGAATGTGCATTCTGATGTGGCATAATTCACTATACTGTGTAGTGAATTATTTGCAAGCATACTTCGCTACACAATCCAGTGAATTATCCCAAAAAATTTTAGCTAGACGTGATAAAATAGTCCCTGTTCTATGATTACCGTTACATTCTAAGTACTGACGAAAAGCATTTATCACTTTTTTTATTTTGTATTTATGCATTTATCACTTTAGCATAAAATATCTATAGAAATGAAGAAAATAACAATTTGATTGTGTTATTTAAAAAAATGGAGAGAATAAAATACAACCGTCACTTCATATTGGATCGTTTATTTTCAAATTTAAAATAAAACTGGCGATTATTTAGAGTAAAAATTGCACACGTGCTTTAATCAGTTTTATTTATATACATTTTGTAAATATATTGTAAATAAAAGTAAATTTTTTTTTATTTTTGAATACATCTCTACCCAATCTCCTTTATGACGTAGAACATGAAATTTTTATACTATCACCAAGTTATTTTAGTCTTAATAGTATATTTTTTAGGCACAACCCACTTATCAATTGTCCAATCCCTTGAGATTAAATAAAATTATTTAAATTATTCTATTTGTTACCCCGATCATGTAATAAATTCTTTTCACTTTATTGAATTCATTTTTCGCTCTATTTTTTTGAACAATTTCTTAATTTTCATGTTTCTATTAGTAAACCCTTAATTAGTATAATAACCAAGGTCAAAATTAAAAGGAGACTCTACGCTCTTCCCATGTCCATTTTACTCGTGTACAAAAGAATTAATAGACAAATATACAAGACAACTTGGAAAAAGATAATTGAAATATGTGAACAACTTTCCTACAAAAGTAGCTTTCGTTTTGGGTTTTCAACCATAAAGTTCTTTAGTCTATGTCATTACGGTCTAATAATCGTGTACATCCTAAAATATAGACAAGTAAAATGGAGCCAAAGTAAAATGCTTTCAACTTGTCACATAATTGTTTTCCTCGGCTTAACAACCTTTTGCGGAAGTCAGTCAACAAGGTTTTAGATTACGGATCTCGGCAATTACCTCGGCCTGAACTTCTCCAAGTCGGGCAGCGGAGCGAAAGATTAAAAATGCAAGCAAGAGAGAGAGAAGGAGAACACAAACGAATTTTAACGTGGGAAAACTTTCTCCAATGAAGAAGTACAAATTCACGGAACTTAGTCCAGATCAAACGTCCACTATGTAAATAATGGATACAAAGAATCAAAATACACCAATGTAGTGGTTAACTCAACCTCTCCAACAATGGTGATAATCAAATCTCTCTAGAGATGTTTCACTCAAATTCTTTCTAGAGTTCTCTCAAATACAAAGCTCAAAGTTTTGCTCACAAATCTCTCAAATAATTTTCTCTCAATCTAACCTAGCCTCCACCCACAACTAATGAATATATAGAGGAGGTGAGATCAAGGGTTTAGGGTTTTTAGGAAATCCCTCAATGAGCTTGGACTTAGCATTGAAGGAGGAAGCCCAACAAATCTCCCCCTCCGACTTCAATACGTCGGCTTCAGCATCAACCCGGCTCCTTCACAGCAGTCTTCAAAT